ATTACAAATTTCTTGACATATCATATTCCACACTTTGATTCAAGTGGGTTATGAACTCCCACCTTCACCCCATAAAGGTTTTTATTTCATCATCAAATCTAAAGCTTAGTTTTGCTAGATTAAGATTCTTGGTTGGCATCCATTTTCTTTCAAAGCTTGGTATATGTTCTTCCACAATTTCCTGGCTTTGAGGGTCTGGGTTGAAAAATCTGCTGATACATAAGTTGGTCTCTCTCTATATATGTGATCTGATTCCTCTCTCTTGCAGCTTTTAAGATTCTATCCTTATTCTGTATGCTAGGCATTTTCATTATAATGTGCCTTGGTGTAGCTCTGTTGTAATTTTGTACATATGGTGTCCTGTAAGCTTCTTGAATTTGGTTTTCCAATTCGTTCTTCATGCTTGGGAAATTTTCTGATATTATTTCATTGAAGAGATTGTGCATTCCTTTGGTTTGAAACTCTTTGCCTTTTTCCATCCCAATAACTCTTAGATTTGGTCTTTTGATGCTGTCCCATAATTCTTGGATGTTCTGTTCATGGTTTCTAACTTTCTTCACTGTGTGATCAACTTTATTTTCCAGATTGTATACTTTGTCTTAATTATCTGACGTTCTTTCTTTTAAATGATCTAGTCTGTTGATTATGCTTTCTATTGAGTTTTTTATTTGGATTATTGTATTCTTCATTTCAAGGATTTCTGACTGGTTTGTTTTTAGAGTCTCTAGCTCTCTCGAAGTAATCTTTTGCTACCTCTATTTGCTCTCTTATCTCATTGTTGGAGTGATCAGTTGTTGCTCATTTAGGTCATTTTTCATTCACAGATCATTTTAATTATGAACCTTCTGAAGTTCTTCTCTGACATTTCATAAACTTTGCTGTCCATGGATTCTGTTATTATAGTGTCCTGGTTTTTGGGGGGTCACTTTCCTTCCTTGTTTTTTTATGTTGTCTATGTGTCTTTCCTCCTTGCAGATATTACAGTTATATTCCTTATATTCTTGTAGTACCCGTGCAGATTGCCTGTACCTCATCTTGATGTTGGGCTTCCAGACCCTGCTGGTGTCCCTCAATGAATGCTACTGTATCCTGGATCTGGGTCCTGTGCAAGTTGGTGTAGGTGGATCCAAGCCACTGGGCTTGACCTCCCTGGTAGTCTGCTGGTCAGAAGGAGTGGTCCCGGCAGAGGCTAGGCTCTGGCGGGTGCCAGCCCCACTGTGTGAAGGGTGGACCCAGCCTGCTGTGAGCCTGGGACCTGCACAGGCCGGTGTAGGTGGATCTGGGCCTGGGCTGCAGGACTGGACCTCACATGGTAGTCTGATGGTCAGAAGGGGTGGTCCTGTGCCAGAGGCTAGGCTCTGGCGAGTGTCTGTCCCCTGGGGGAGGGGTGAACCAGGGCTACTTAGAGCCTGGGTTCCTGCAGGCTGGAGTGTAGTAGTACAAAATAGTTTTTGAGGAGGGAAAAAACACAAGAAATCCACACCAAAGGAAAGCTTATTAGTTTGATATAGTTTCACTTAATTATTTTTGCTTTTGTTGTCTTCATTTTTGTGTGATATCCAAAATATCATTTCCAAAGATGGTATCATGGTACTTTTCCCTATTTTCAGGAATTCTACAGTTTCAAGTCTTCCTTATCTTTAAGTCTGTAATCCATTTTGAATTCATATTGTGTGTGGTAAAAGGATTCATTTTGTTCTTTTTCATTGAATATCCACTTTTCCCAGCACTACTAATTGAAGAGACTATCCTTTCGCCATTTGTGTTCTTGGTGGCCTGTAAAAACAATTCTTGATTCTATATACTTGGGTGTTTCTGGGCTCTCTGTTCTGTTTCGTTGATCTATGTGCCTGTTTTATGGTAATGTCTCAGAATACAGAAAAGGCATTTTACAATGTTCAGCATCCTTTCATAATTAAATCTCTCAACAAAATGGCATAGAAAGAAATTTCTTCAGCATATTAAAGACCAAGTATGAAAAGCCCATACCTAACTTTTCTCTAAGATTTGGTACAAAGCAAGAATGAGTTTCCTGCTACTTTTGTCCCACCTAGTACTGGAAATACTAGTGAGCTCAAACAAACAAGAAAAAGAAAGAAAAGACATCTAAATTAGAAAGGAAGAAGTAAAAATTTTCCTGTTTGCAAATGACCTGATCTTACAGGTAGAAAACCTTAAAGATGCTCCCTCCCCACAAACACCTGATAAAATTAATTAATGAATTTAGTAAAGTAGCAGGACACAAAATCATATGTCAGTTTTTTCTTTACATTTCTTTATACTAATAACAGTCTATGAAAGAAATAGAGAAAATAATCCTGTTTATGATAGCATCAAAAATAATCAAATACTTGAATTAATTTAACCAAAGAAGTAAAAGATCTGTGTGCTTTAAGCTATAAAACATAAATTGAAGCAGATGAAAATGGACATATCGTGTGTTCATGGGTTGGAAAAGAATTAATATGATTAAAATGTCCAGCAATCTGTAGCTTCTGTGCAATCCCTACCAAAATTCCTGTGGCATTTTTCACAGAAATTGAAAAGTCAATTATGAAATTCTTGTAGTACCACAAAAGGCCCTCAATAGCCAAAGCAATCTTTTTGTTGTGGTGGTTGTGGTTGCTCATCTATTTGTTTTGTTTTGTTTTGTTGGTACCAGGGATGAAACCCAGGAGGTTTAACCACTTAACCACTAAGCCACATCCCCAGCCTTATTTATTTATTGAGGCAGGGTCCTGCTAAGTTTATTAGGGCCTTGCTAAGTTGTTTAGGCTAATCTCGAACATGCAATTCTCCTGCCTCAGCTTCCCAAGTTGCTAGGATTGTAGACATGTACCACTGTGCCTGGCTAGCCAAAGCATTCTTTTTTAAAAAAATTACTTATTTCTTATTTGTTCTATGTAGTTATACATGACAGTAGAAATCATTTTGATACATCTTATATAGATCAAGTATAATTTCTCATTCTTCTGTTTGTACATGATGTAGAATCACACCCGTCTTATAGTTATCTATGTATGTAGGATAATAATATCTGATTCGTTCTACTATCGTTTCTATACCCATATCCTCTTCCTTCCCTTCACTCCCCTCTATCTAATCTAAAGTAACTGTATTCTTCCCTAGCTTTCCCCCTTATTGTGAATTAACATCCTCATATTAGAGAAAACGTTCAGCCTTTGTTTTTTGGGGATTGGCTTATTTCACTTAGCATGAGATTCCCCAGCTCCAACTATTTACTGGCAAATGCCCCAGCTCCAACTATTTACTGGCAAATGCTCAGTAATATTCCATCATATATATATATATATATATATATCTCACATTTTCTTTATCCATTCATCTGTTGAAGGGCACCTAGGTTGGTTTCATAGTTTAACTATTGTGAGTGGAGCTGCTATAAACATTAATGTGGTTGCATCACTGTAATATGCTGATTTTAAGTCCATTGGGTATAAACCAAGGAGTAGGATAACTGGATTAAATGGTGGTTTCATTCTAAGTTTTCTGAGGAATCTCCATACCATGCTTTCTATAATGGTTGCACCGATTTGCATTTCCACCAGCAGTTTATTAGTGTACCTTTTTCCCCACATCCTTGCCATTCTTGAGAAAGGAAAAAAAAAAAGTTGGAAGCATCATATTTTCTAATGTCAAATTAAATTACAAAGCTGTGGTAACCAAAACAGTGAGATACTGGTATAAAAACAAACATACAGACTTTAATCACCATTTTAAAAAACACATATTAAATGCCAAATCATATTTCATCCTATACCAGACTTTAACAATAAGCTGGATAAAAGTGGGGTTTTTTTCCCAAAAATAGTGATAATTTTTTTATTACCCCTTTGAGGAGCCGGTTAAAACTTCATATGCACACAGTTTTGCTTATAATTTCAAAGGCTTTTTGAAACACTCTATTTTTTTTTTGCAACACTCTATTTTCTAAGCCTACCATAGTTTTCATGTCCCTCAGGTTAAGAAATTCCTGCTTGAGTTTTACTCTAGTTCTCCAAGACTTGTCAGTAACAAAATGTGGTTATTAATTCTTCTGGATCATGTTTTGATTTTAAAGAACTAACTGCTGTTACTACAGTGGTTTTGATTTCTTTTTTATTTTTTTTAGGGGGTTTAGGAGTACATAAGAAAGGTCTGCTTTCACCTCCTTTGAGTTGTGATTATTTGGAGCATACATTACCACTTTTGTAAGGCTGAAATTTGGCCATTGCTAGAGTATGATTTTATTTATGTTCTGTCTCCATAGTAGTTCTTGTGCTATACTTTATATATAAAAAAAAAAGAGAGAGAAAAATGTTATTATTTCTCAAAAGAGGTAAAACTTCTCCAAAGAGGTAAAACTCTTGAAACTTTTAACTTTTGCCATCAGTACAACCTAATAACCAGAAAGAAAGGTGGGAGTAGAAAGTTGTAGTTGTGTTATGACTCCAGCATCTCAATGGAAGATGACTTTATACTGCCCAGGTTTAGAATCGTAGGTGTGATTAGGAAGAGGTCTGTCTTAATCCATTTTGTGTTTTTATAACAGAATACTTAAGATGGGGTAATTTATAAGAACAGACATTTATTTTATAATTTATTATAAAATTTATTAGACATTTATTTTATATTTTAAAATTTATTAAAATTTATTAGACATTTATTTTATATTTTATTATTCTGGCTACTAGAAAGTCAAAACAAGGAAATAGCATTTGGAGATATAGTGAGGGGTCTGCTTGCTGCATTTTTACATGGAAGAACATGGAAAGAAGAGTTAAACAAATGTTGTAGGAATGAATATTTATAAATCTGTTACAAGAAAATCAAATTTGGATCTTTTAAAGTGACTCATTTTGCACAACAGCAACAATAAAAATAAAACAAACATTTCTTCAAATCCCAGTCTTTTGGTGGGAGGGAAAAAAGCTCTTGCAAAGAACACAGTGGTTTATTTGGTTCATTTACTTTATCTATTTATTTTTGTCATGTTACAGCATTAAAGCTAGGTCCTGAATCATTCAAGTTTGATGGTGCAGTGGAGGCTGTGGCTGTCCGACAGGCTGAAAAGTATTATATCCTCCGTCCAGAAGTAATTGAAACCTATTGGTACCTATGGCGATTTACTCATGATCCAAGATACAGGCAGTGGGGCTGGGAAGCAGCACTGGTAAATAAGCCAACATTTTATTTTATCTGTAAGAATATGAAACCAAGCCCTCTTATAGTGCCATGTATTCTTATCTGTGTTAACCTCAGTTTGAGAAACTATAGTATGATTTTTATTTTTCTAATGAAGAAACTATTAGTTCATTTAAATTTCTTGAGCAGTAGATAAAACCTTGAAATCCTGTTTTATTTTCTAGTGAGAGTAGTTTCCTGCCAGTATTTACTTACTATCCTTATTGAATAATATGAGGAATTATTTAAAAGGCAATTTTCCAATATAATTGTTATATAAGTAATTTAATTTTTACATGTCCTCTTAATGCTTAACCACCGGAGGGGGGAAAAGTCATAAAATTAATCAAGTGTATAACTTGGGTAGATGACCCCGTTCATTTTACCTTTAGATATGAAAGATACCTAATAGATCACATGAAGGATCAGTAATTTTTTTTAAATTTTCTAGGTTGAAAAATAAACTATGTATATTTAAAATTAGGAAATTTTAATTATAAGTTAAAGAAGCAAATGATTTACTCTTAAAGTACTAGACTTTCAGGAAACCTCATGGCTATCAGTACCTGGGGAAGAAAAAAATTAGACTTTTATAAAAATATAGCTTATTCCTGGAGTGGGGGATGTTTTATTCTCTGAGATTCACTAGTTATGATGAATAGTATTAATTGTGAATATTTATATTCAGACAAATTAACTTAAACTGGTAATCTGATAAAATGACTAATGAACATCCGAGGCAAGATAAGGAATGCTAGTAAATTGCCCAACCAAGAATGTGCAAGGTGTATTTTAGGGCAGAATGTACACTGATTTATGTACAGAAAACATTCCACAGTGGCAAAGTTGGAGCCCTTATGTGTCAAATCAAGGGTACTTCATTTAGTTGTTCAGGAATAAGACACAAAAACATACATACACACACCCTCACTAAGTTTTGTTAATCACTTTCTTATGTTTTCATATGCAAAGTAATGATAAAAAGTTGTTTGGTAATCTAAAAAGTCCTTCAGATCTTCTTTTTTTCCCTCACTATTTTTTATTTTAAGAATCTGGGGGCTGGGGATATAGCTCAGTTGGTAGAGTGCTTGCCTGGCATGCACAAGGCCCTGGGTTCAATCCCCAGAACAGAGAGGGAGGGAGGGAGGGAAGGGAAGGGAAGGGAAGGAAGGAAGGATGGATCTGTTATAGAACTACTAAAAGTTTTTAAAGGGTTAGGGACTACTTAAAGCTTTTTTTCATTGGGGAACAACAAAGCAAAGGGATCTGATTATAATTCACACATTGATGAATCTAGGAATAGGGTGATATCTTAAACTAAGGTAAAACACTTAAGGGTCTTTTGTCATTCAGGTTTGGGTAATCCTTTGGACAGGAGAGTGTTAGAAGGAAGGTAGTTTCACAGAGCAGAAACAGGCACAGCACTTATTGATGCTGCTTTCCCCTGGCCCCATGAGTCCAAGATTAGGTAGGTAGTACAGCTCTACCAGCAGGTCCTGCCACAGCTGAGAGGACAGCCAAACTGTTGTCACAGTGGTTAGGGAATAGGCACTCATACACGTTTATACACTCCCATGCACATACACTTATTTTGTTAGTGGTGGCTTACTAGTGCTTGCATAGGTAGGTAAAGTAGTTCTGTAATGAGTCTATTTGACTTGAATGTTTCCTAATATTTAATGATTCTTATTTAGAAAAACGAGGGAGATGTTTCTCAATCATGTAGAATGGGGAGTTGGGTAAAAAGTGATGGTGGATACACATCTTATCATTAGGAAATGCTATATAATAAATTATTCTTTTCCTAAAGTCCTTTTTTCCTGTGTGCTATCTTAAAGTATGGCCCCACATTTACCTGTTAGAAGAGGTTTGACAGGATTCAACTTTAGCCTACAGCTGTCCAAATTTGAATTATAGGAGTTAGGATTTTACTTTTATAGACTATATAGACACATACAGATTCAAAGTGTAATCTGTCAAGAACAAGAACAAAACAACTATGCTACAAATTAAGGTTTGGAAAGTGTGCCATGATGAGAACTGGAAAAATAGAGGCAAAGAGGAAGCTTCATAACTTAAAAAGAATTTCTTTGTGCATCATAATTGGCCCCTCCTATTGGAGGTGAAGAAAGTAAAGAGAAGGTGTAATTGGACAATAGTGATGAGTCTGTCTTCTGAAGCCTTAGCTGTTTTGTTTACATATTCAGTCTTCTAAACTGGAATAAATTATACATGGAAACTTTCTCTCAGGAAATGACTCTAAATGGTTTAAGGATTAGTCACACCTCCCTCCTGTTCCTCAGTATTCCTAAATAGCTGTGGTAGTTCATATAGTCCTGAAGATATGATCATTGTGGGATCCAGTACTTTAAAACTCTTGAATTTTAAATGTTTAAAATATTGATAGGTATAAGAAAAAAAACCCAGCTGTAATCAAAATGGAACAATAAAATGGAACAAGTTGACTATAGTCTTTTCAGTGTTAATTAACTTTTTATTAGAAAAGAAGACCAGAAGAGAAAGAAAAATTGCAAGACTAGGAATAAGCCATGGTAGCCATGATTAAATAAGAAGAGAGTTAGATAGAACAAAGAATGAAAAGAACCATAAATAATTCCAACTTTTCACAAACAGTTTAATTCTGTACGTGATATACCTGCATAAGCAAGATATTTGATTGCTTTGAATTAGAAGTAGAATTGTGAACAGATAGCATTTGATTGGATTGAATTCAGAATTCAGTTTTATTTAGGCATGTTCATGGATGCAAAAGGAGATAAAAATTTAGAATCTTAATTTCCAGCCAAGCAATAAAGCACATTAGTTAATATTATAGAGCAAATTACTCTGCTTAGTTTTTCCATCTGAAAAGTGAAGCTATCAAACTCAGGGTTGTTGTGAAATTTAAATGTTGGTGCCTTCAGCACATAGTAAGTACTTCATGTTAGCCCTTAAATTTTAAGTATTATATAGAAGGTATATAGATGAGCTTTCTGCTAGTTTGTATCGAAATCATAGTTTGTATCTAAATCATACAATGTCTGGCAAGAATTTATTTGCAGTGAATATATACTAGTAAATCTCTTATAAATATTACTATAGAAAGCTCCTAAGAAATACTTTAATATATTATGGACTATTGTTTGTTCTTGGAAGTGATAAAATTTAAATTCATAATTTGAGTTCACCCTGACCTCTAATTTTCCAAGAATGAGAAATTTCCATTTGATAATGTATTATTTTTAGGCTGAATATATTATTAATTAATTAAAGAATAATTAATATTGTCAAATTTTTATACATATTTTTAGGAACTTTTGATTTTGATTCTTAGCCTTCAAAATTTGAAATTATGTGGAATTGTTTCTTTTATTGATTTCGTTTACAGGCTATTGAAAAGTACTGCCGGGTCAGTGGTGGATTTTCTGGAGTCAAGGATGTATATTCCTCTACTCCTACACATGATGATGTACAGCAGAGCTTCTTTCTTGCTGAAACATTAAAGTAAGTAAATACTTTTAAAATGCTTTTAAAAAGTAAATTTATCTTCTAACCAATATATCAAAACACAGAAATCTTACATATTAAGCAGCAAGGTAATTACAGTGTTTTGATATATATATCATGTAATGTTTAAATGAGGTTAAACATATCTGTGTCTTCAGATATTTGTCAGTTCTTTGTGGTGACAATTTTCAAAATCCTTTCTTCTTTTTGAAATATACAATACATTATTGTTATCTATAATGATGCTATTGTACTATATATACACCAGAACGTCTTTCTTCTGTCCAGCTGTAATTTAGTACTCTTTGATCAAGTTCTGTCCCTCTCTCTTACCCCTAGTCTCTCATAGCCTCTGGTAACCACCATTCTATTCTCAACATCTATGTGATTAACTTTTTTAGATTTTACATATGAATGAAATTACATGATCCTTGTCTTTCTGTGCCCGGCTTATTTCCTTTAACATAATGATCTTTGCTTCTGTCTGTGTTACAAATAACAGGATCTCATTGTTTTTTTATGGCTGAAGAGTATTCCATTGTGAACCACATTTTCTTTATCCATTCATTAAAAATTTTTATTGTATATTAGTTGTATGATTGCTAGATGATGCATTAGGACTGTGTGATATGTTACACTAAATTTTATTATGAATATCTTTTTATGTAATTGGGTCCATTAACCTTCACCTACATCTCAAGAAGAATGACTTAGACCATAAGGCAGATATTTTATCAAATACGTAATTACTACCTTTATTTTGTTGTTGTTGTTGTTGTTCTTAGTTCTTTAGAGTGCATTACAATCACTTGGAAGGCTTCTTAAAACACAGATAAATAAATGGGCTCATACCCATAGAATTTTAGTAAATCTGGGGTGGAGTCTAAGAATTTACGTTTCTGACAAGCTCCTGATGATACTGATGGTGCTGATCCTGGGACCACACCCGACCTCTCTGCTATAGCTAATTAAATTTTAGGAATAATCATGAAGTTTTGATGGTACCAAATGATATAAAGCCATAGTCAACCATTTCCCAAAGAGGGTTTTCATAAAGATACACATAAAAGGAATAATGGAGGGTGGGGGGAGATAATTTTTGACGTATACTCAAAATCCCAGATAGAAAACTCTGTAAACCACCATAGGAGAAGGTGGAAACCTTAAGCCTTACTTTGCTAAAGACTTGAGAGATTTCTTGAATATTAAATTTATAAAATATTTATATCTAAATATTTTGAGAGGAGATTTAGATAATTAGTGAATATTTTAGGTGAATTGTTAGTATAATGAATATACAACAGCCTGATTTTTATGTAAGGGGAAGAATTATACAAGAAAGGAAGACCTTTGAATAGTCTCTATTAACATGAAAATGCTTGAAGATATTTATTGAATCTTGATTGTTTTCTAAAAATAGGTAAATGCTATCACTCTACCAAATTTCTCCAGTTGCAATAAAAAGAAATATGTTCTTTGGCAATGGTTTTCATTACTCCAGGAATTGTTAGTTCACTGGTCTTATTGAAATAGCAGTTATTCAAAAACCCTTTAAGCTAAAAGATGCCAAGGAACCAAGATTCCTGGGAATACTTCTGTAAGCAGCAGTCTGTGACTGTCTACTGAGTATATTCTATTTGGATTCTCAATAATTGTTTTATTTATGTGGATGTGTATCACTTACTAGCATTAATCAATTCCTCTTAAATAAAACTTTGAAAGAAGCTAGGCATGCATGCCTGTAATCCCAGCAGCTCCAGAGTCAGAGGCAAGAGGATCACAAGTTCAAAACCAGCCTCAGCAATTTAGCAAGACCCTAAGCAACTTAGGGAGACCCTGTCTCAAAAGAACAAATAAAAGGATGTGGCTTAATGTTAATCACCCTTAAGGTTAAATCTCTGGTATAAAACGAAACACAACAAAATTTGAGAATGTGTTATTTTATATCTGTTTCTCAGTACCCGACTTCTATTCATCTAAATCTTTCATGTAATTAGGTTTTTATTGACTCTTAGCACAGTTGTTGTATATTTATTTGAAGTTCTGACAGAAAAAAAATTATATATGTTAAGGATTCATTTCAACCACTTTTTTTGAGTTCATATATATCAGGCATTAAATGACTAAGAGTAGAAGTCAGAAGTCAAGTCTTTTCATTAAATTTATTATTAAAGAGAGGTAGCATAAGACCAAGTTTACCACCACAGCTTGTATGCTTTCTCCAACACTGTAGTCTCTGAGACAGAAAGTATGTCTGTATATCTGTAGGTCTTGCTTGTATAGTTTTTTCCTCTCTCTCTTAAAAATTGAAACTTTGAATATAATGGCAAAGTTCTGGAAAGTTATGTAAGAGTATGTCAAACATCTTAAATGCAGTCTTTCACTGCTAGTGACAGGAATATGTTCTGAGAAATACATTGTTGTGCAAATATCATAAAATGTACTTACATAAACCTAGGTTGTATAGCCTACTATACATCTAGGCAATATGGGATAGCCATAATTTATTAAAAATATTTTTCTCTCTTCAATAGTAAATTAGCCTGAGCTTACTGTAACAATTTTTACTTTCTAAATTTAATTTTTCAAAACATTTTACTATTTTGTGATAATATTTAGCTTAAAGCACACATTGTATAGCTGTACAAAGTATTGGGACTTTTTACTGTTCTTATCATGTAAGCTTTTCCATTGTATACCACATTTTTTCTATTTTAAAATTTTTATTTTATTTTATTTTATTTCAAAAACTGTTTTGTAAAAAACTAGGAAACAAGCATACAATAGCCTGGGCCTACCCAGGTCAGTATTGTCATCCACTGTCCCACTGGCAGGTCTTCAGGGACAGCAATGCACATGGAACTGTCATCTTCTATGATAATAGTACTTTCCTCTGGAATCCCCCTGAAGGAGCTGCCTGAGGCTGTTTTATAGTTATCTTTCTATGTAGGAGGAATATAGTTAATACATAAACCAGTAATGTAGTCACTTATTATCAAATGTTATGTACTGTACGTAATTGTATATGCTGTATTTTTATATAGCTGAAAGTACAGTAGGTTTTTTACACCAACATCACCACAAATATGAGTAATACATTATACTATGACTATCTCACTAGGCAGTCGGAATTTTTCAGCTGTATTATAGTATTATGGGAGTACTGTTATATATGTGATCCATTGTTGACCAAAATATTGTTATGTGGTATGACACTATGATCAGCTATAGAAAAGGATTTATGTACAAGACATTTACTGCTGTTACAAAAATAAGAGTTATTACATGTTCAGTAACAGTTGAATGGTTAAATAAATTGTTACATCCGCAGTAGATGTTACTATGGAGACAGTAGCAGTTGTTTATAAGGCTTTTCACAGTATCAGATAGGATATTAAGTGCATGTATGTATACACACACATACATGCATACACACATATATGTAAAATACATAGGTGAAAATGTTTCTAGGATTTCAGAATATAAAGATGTGAACTGAAGATCATAATGTGTTCTAATAATAAAAAATGTGAACTGTGGGTTGGCTTAATTGGCTTTTTCAAAGAATGCTTTTTGGTTTTGCTTTATATTTTAAATAAATTAATTTATTGTCCACTTATAAAAATATAATAAAGCTGGATCCCTGATAAACATCAAACTCATTTTATATAGAACAAAGCTTTAAATATAAAAAAAGGAAAGAAAATCATGAAAAAAAATGGATTCCCCCCTCCCCCAGTGCTGGGGATTAACATGACATGATATAAAAATCAAGAAACCATAGAAGAAAAGATAAAATTTTAATTGCATAAAAGTAGAAAACTTCTACAACAAGAAAAGAACATTAAATAAAGTAAAGATCCAGATGTGGTGGCACACACCTGTAATTCTAGCAGCTCCAGAGGCTCAGGCAGGAGGATCACAAGTTCAAAGCCAGTCTCAGCAACTTAGTGAGGCTTTAAGCAAAGTAAAACTTTAAAAGGAGTTGGGATGTGGTTCAGTGGCTAAATGCCTCTGAGTTCAATTCCTGGCATCAAAAACAAAATAAAACAAAAGACAAACACTGGATAAACAGTGGATTACTTAGAACAGGGAGAGAATGGAAGAGATGGAGGAAACCTAATAATCAGATACCATGTTTTACTGTCAGAAGACTTAAAATTTGAAAAACACCCATGTTCTGGTGTTGGAAAAATAGAGTTGAGAGTGTGTTGTTTAGTATGGGAGTGAAATTGTTGGAAAAGAACCTATTGAAATATTGAGTGTACATTAATTTTGTTCCTGTGGATCAACTCCTACCACTTATCCTATAGGTATATTCTCCCAATTAAGAAAGATAAATGTAGAAAGGTGTATTTCATTTCATTGATGTTAATATTTTTTGCTCTTATATTGAATAATTAAGATTTAATGCCATTTTTCCCTTTTCAGTCACATCTTCAGAACTTATCATTTTAAGGCAAATTGTATAAACATCTGTCCCCTCTGGTAAAGAAATCTCATTTCCTAAAGATAATTATTAAACCAGTTCTTGATGTATTTTTTGGAAGTTTTCTGGGTATATACAAACATAAAAGTATGTGTTCATATGTCCTCTTAATGACCTTTTATTTTTTTGCCATAGATAGGATTATATACACCTATTGTTCTAACACTTGTATTTTTCATCTTAATTTATACCTAGAGAAAATTTCCACATTATCACATATAAATCCACTGAGGAATGTATCATAATTTATACTTATAATTAGTACCCTATTATTAAATATATAAGTTGGTTCTAGATGTTTGCTGTTATAAACGATATTGCAGGAATGCCTGTCTATCTCTGTCTATGCTGCTTCCTGTGTGAATATAAATACTGATTAGATTTCTAGAAATAAATGTCTGTTTCAAAAGGCATATGTATTTGAATTATGGTAACTTTAATTAAACAGAATTAACCAAGAGTGGTAACTATTCACAAAACTTGTTACACATAGACAGCTCTGGAAGTT